GGGGACTTGTTCTCAAGGGCCTTCAGAAGTCAATACAACATTGGCAAAGCCAGCGGGTTTAGCCTTCTGGTCTACCATGAACTATCCCGGCAAACCCCACTGCGCTTCCCCTGATGTTTTGGTGTGTGTGTTCAAAAGGACAGTTGTCTGCCCCTTTTGTACTATTACAATCCAAGACTCTCCAGGGTCAGTGGCAAGAGAGGGCTCTCATTTTAGTTCATGAAAATTAGAATATGCTCTTTCCTCTTCAACTGGCTAGCCTCTCTTTTATCAAACTGCATGGGGGGAGAGGGGGTGGGAGGGTGGCAGTGTTAGAGACAGTGGCATAGCCAATCAAAACAAAGAGGAAAAGGGACAAAAAAAAAAAAAAGCAATAAAGTAGATCAAATCAGCCACCCCGACTCCCCACCTCAAGGGGAGGAGGAACTGGCCTGACACCCCCACGACTTCGGGTTTTCTGGGTTGCTGAACAAAGCAAACAACTTTGCTACACAGTGGTAAGAAAGAACTTGTCCGGGGAAAAGGTTTGCTTACCAGAGTATCATCGCTTCTGGCAACACTCATGTTACTTCTGGACAAGAATGACCTGGATAATCTTTGGCACAGTGATATCAAGCGAACGGATTGCTTTAAAAAGAGAGAGAGAGAGAAAGAGAGCGTGAGTAGGGAAAAAAGGCAGGGGGAGAGGAGAGAGGGAGCTTATGTAACAGTACTCAAATTAGTGCAAACGGCAAGCCTCTGAGGTAGCACGCACGTGGACAGCACGTATCCTCCGGGTGGGCCACCCCACAGGCAGGCTGGATCATATTTGCTTCAGGAAGTGTCTACAGGTCTTATAAATCAAACAACAAGGTGGAGATTCTCCTTCTGCACTTCGTAATTCAACTACAGAACCGGATGCCCTGCATCCTTTCTCTCTCCATATTTCGCTCTCTACTCTTTGAGGAGTGGGGCCTTACCATAACAAAGCCCTTGTACGTGCCCCCTCAGAGAAGCATGGCAGGCAAGAGTCTTGCCTCGGGTCCTTGGTGCCCAGGCAAGCTGGTAACGCTAGATAGTGTGACTATCAAAACTCATACCATTGTTGGAAACGAGCAGGTGGCAGACTCCATAGGCCACTCCAAGGGCTTCTTTAAGACTCAGAGTCAAGTCTTGAGTAACCTATTGCTCTGGTCCTCCTCATCTCTATCGAGGCATCCCCAGCCTGATGGGTATGCAAATGATGGACACTTCCGACCCGGTGATGAGGGGACACAGCAAGTACCTGCTCCCTCTGGGCCTGACATGACCCTGTGCACAGGAAGCCAAACTGTCACCTTCACCCTGAATTTTTATTTGCTCCAGGTTGGCTGGAATGCCCTTTAGAACCATGTCTGACACAGCCCTGGCAGAGACCATCCGCACTGAAAAGGTACAAGGGACCACACTGCACACACTCATGGCTCCACTCACCCTCGTCCCAACCACTCACAGACCAAGGCTGGATTTACAGAGCCATTTGCACACGTTCTGGTATAATCATAATGCCATGCCGCTTACCACAAAAAACAAATCTATTTAAAATGCGGCTTGTTGCATTTAGAAAAAGACTGCACTGTAATTTTATGTACTGATTTAAACATTTGCCTTGGGAATGGTTTTGATTAAAAAAAATGCAAAATTACATGTGCAAAGATGAGTTAAATAGGACTGAAATATTATTTCTGCCTAGCTTAGGAAATAGAGTAATGCTGCAGAAGACTACAGAATGAACTTAAAAACAAAAAAGAAGAAGAAAGATGCACTTTTGCATTGTCAGTATCAGGAGAGGTGAGCCCTGAGCAGCGGGAGAGCCACAGAGGAAAGAGAATTAATCCCTTCAAATCCAAACAATCTTACTTTCCATTTTTTCCGGGCCGCGAACTTCTTGAATTTCTCCATGTTTACTGCCGATGCTTTTCTACTAAGGGCTTGTTGAGTGTCTTTAGGCTAAAATGAAGGTCCAAGAAAAACAATTTAGAGCTCTCCAATGACAGAAGTGTGTTACATGTCGCAGCTTTTTGAAACCTCTCATTATCTGGGATGCTAACACGTTCACCTTGCTAAAGTAACAGAACATGTCGGGATTACACACCAGGTCCAGGAACCCAGTCTCCAGAGGCTGACTCTTGTGGCTAAGGACTTGATAAAGTCACAAAAAGACTGGATCTTCGGGGACAGCTGACAAGTTGGGTGTGGGCCCTCTGTGAATTACAACTTTCCGTAACAGTTTGGGAACGGGGAGACTCACGGTCAGGTCATGTTTGAGGCATGTGAACGCAATATCATCAAGCACTTTAGAGCTGGTTGGGACCTAGAGGTGAGCAAACTCGGCCTATCCTATGGCATTAAAATCCCTCTTACTGCAACTTTTTCAGGAGGCCACGTAGCTGTACCATCCAGAGGAGACACCGTTGCCTTTCAGGGGATCCCAGGCAACTGCTGGGAGCTGGCCCAGGCGGAGTCCTCCAGCTGCCCCAAGCCCACTTCTGTGATGCAAGTTACTGTCACCTGCTTATCGGTTCCATGATTTTATTCTGTAGCTGCCATGCCCCCCGCCCTTAGTCCTCTCTGCTCTAGGTGAAGCAACTTCAGTTCTTTAGCCCAAATGCCTAAAGGAGGCAGGCAGGTGATGTAAAGGTGTGATGTACGGGGTGGCCGCAGGCGGGTGGACACACAGGCAGCTATGCCCAGTGTCTGGTGACTTTGTGGAATGAGGCCTCAGTGTGGGTAGATCTTCAGATTTTTCTGGAGAAGCTGGAAATCCAGCTTTGATCTGATATTTAACTGACATATATTAATTCAAAAATTACAAAAAATATTGTTTGGGCCAATATCCCACAATCAAATCAGAAATGGTTGTCGAGTGGCCTGGCCCTTCGGGTCCTCATCACAATCCCGCACCGTGGAAGCCCTCGCCTCTCTACCTCTGTTACTAATAGGATTCTCTCAGCTGGCAGCTGTCTTAAAACACGGCACCAAGAGCACCTGCAACACTCCAGACAGGACCATGGTTAGAACCCACACGCCTAGTGATACCCTGGAGCAAACGGGCCCCAGGATGCCCTGTAATCCCCAGACCAACCGCATCATGCAACTTACCTTGATCCAAGGATGCTGCAAACTATCTTGAATTGTCATTCTCTTCCTTTGTGGGGGAAGGAGAAAGAAAAAAAACTGTGATGATCAGAGAAGCAAACGCTAAGGTTGTTTCTATGCCGGCCGGGCCTACCAAGCAGAGGCTCTACAAAATGCAGTTCGGGGGTCTCCTTCATGGAAGAAAGCCAAAAACAGCATCCGTGGTGGTGCGATTATCCCACAGTGCCCACAGGGACCGACTGAGCAGGTACAAATGGCCCTGCCTGAGTTTTCTGAAGCGCTGCACATGGCAGGCTTCGCTTGGCCAGGCAGAAACGACCAGGGTGGCATAAACATGGCCATGCGCACAGGACAGGTGCTAACCCTCATCTGGCTGAGGCCACGGATGGGCGCCCGGTAGGAATAATGGGCACTCACTTTGGATCCTTGACGAGGAGTCTTCTTATAAAATCTTTGGCCAGGGCGCTGGTGTTACTAAAGTATTCTTCCTCAAATTCGTAGTTGACGGCAGACACATTTGCTAACGTTTCTTGCTTAGTGTCTCCAAGAAATGGGGAAGCCCCACTTAGGCTGTTAATAAAGTGGGGCAGAGAAAATGCGTTAAGTCCATCTTGCGTTGTCATTCTTCTCCGATAATATCTGATCGGGGGAGTGAGGAATGGCATTATCATTTGGTGCCGTAGCAGTCACTTTAGAATTCAATTACACTCCATAAGGCATTAAATTGTCATGCACAAAAGCTTCAGCTTAATGCAAAGGATGCATTTCAAAAGTTAATTTAAAACAGCGTTTAGTAGTTAAAAAAAACAAAAACCCTTTCCTATTTTCTCGGCAGTGATGGACAGCCAGGCTTTCTTTCAGTGACTATGTGGCAGTTTTCTGATGACTCATTTCACATTAGGAGAAGATGTTTAATTAGTATAAACTAAATGTGTTCTGGGGGTGTAAAGTGAATATGTTTACATAAAAAGCGTGCAGAAGCCAAAGTGATCAACATGACACACAGAATGGTCAATAAAACAGATGGTCTCAAAGAAAGAGGGAAAAAGAACACGAGTTGTGGATTTGGGTACTTACAGAATATAGGTTATTACCCCAATACTCCTGGACACAAAACAAAAAGAAAAGCAATGTCAGAACAACAGTAAAATAAATCAGAAAGATGACAACACCAAGGGCATGCTCCTTACCACATGTCTGCCTCAAGACCCAGAGGTTCATAGTTGACTATCTCGGGAGCTAAGAGGAAACAGACACACATTTAGTCTTGGAAGGAAGTGAACCAACCGATTCTAATCTCCACGTATAAACTAGAAACATGTACCAGGGAAATGATGCCACGGCAGGGAAGACTTTGCCAGCATAATGGTTATGAGAAATGAATGACCACCAGGAGAAAAGAAACTTACCGACAAACTCTGGTGTCCCAAATATGTTTTTGAATTCATTGCCAAAGTCAATTTTATGGGCCAACCCAAAGTCGATGATCTTGATCCGAGGTTTGGGAACATTTCTATCCAGAAGCATTATGTTTTCGGGCTTTAAAAAAAAGAAAAATAGTAGAGCAATGTTCACAGCAGTGTTACTCACAATAACCAAAAAGTAGAAATAACACCTTCATCTCCTTCAGATGAATGGATGAACAAAACATGGTCTGGAATGGAATATTACATGGATGAACCCTGAAGACATGCTAATTGAATTAAGCTGGTCACAAAAGGAGAATTACTGTATGATTCCACTTACATGAAGTACCTAGAATAGGCAAAATCAGAGTGATGGATGCCTTCAGCTGGGGGTAGGAGCATTGGGGAGTAAGTGTTTAATGATACATCATTTCAGTTTGGGAGGATCAGTAAGTTTCAGAAATAGATGGTGGTGATGGTTGCACAACAATGTGAATATACTTAATGCCACTGAACTGCATACTTAAAAATAGTTACGATGGTAAAATTTATGTCATGTTCATTTTGCCATAGATTAAAAAAATATATGATATGTTATGCTGACGACAAGATGGCAGAATGGTCTTCCTCTCCTCTGGAAAGACAACCAAACAAATAGGGATAAAAGGGTAGTTGGAAGAGAACATCGGGAAAAATAAATGTCTTGGTTTAGGTTCTCCTAGGAGCAAACCTTGACAGGGAATCGGGTGCAAGTGACTTACGTGGGAGGGGGCTCCAGGGAATACTTGTTAGAGGAATGGGGAGACAAGAAACAAGGAAGGAAGCTGATACAAAGTATCTTATCAAGGTGGGGGTGACTGGAGCGCAGTCCCTTTGGAGGACTTGGGGAGAAAGAGTAGCACTCAGAATTTTCCACCTGAAGCACGAGGGAGTTGGGGTATTTATCCACCATCTCCCCAGTCTCCACTGCTAAGAGCTGCTTCAGTGAGTATTTATCCTTTGGCACTTCCAGCTCCCAGCAGCCGTCTTTGGGATGTGTCAGTGAGTGCAGGGGGGAGATCCGGAGGGGGTCTTGGCAGCTCTGCTACAGTAAGATGGAGAAAATCTTCCTTTCTCTTAAGTCTTATCCTAGCTCCAGGGATCTGAATCATTCACTTGGCAATCAGTCATGGTGCTCTGTGATAATTGTCTCACTGCCTTGGACTGTACCCTGAATGTCACCTCTGTTGCCCATATGTATGCCTTCCCCTCCCAAAGAGACCATAACCTCTGTGATGGATGGGAGTATGCCGTGCCTTTTTCTATCTCCGATAATGCCTCGCCTCCAGCCAGGCAAAGACCCCAATTAGCCAGTCTCAGAGTTTGGCTTGACTGATTGCCGAAGACTGACTGAGAGGGACAGTGGCTATCAAGACACCTTCCATCCTGTATGCCCTGCAGCCACATGAGGAAGGAAACTGGGCAGCCAGTGGCTACTCCTGGCTGAAAATACCCCATAACCAACAGGAGCCCCCTTGCTTAAAGACCTGGCTGGTAAGACCCCTCAATTCTTCCCCAAGGATTCTCAAATGCAATCATTTATCTTAATTCTCAATCCCAAAAAATGGCTAGGCATTTCTGTAGTAAGCATGCATTACATATTTGCTGGTTTATATTGATAATTTCATTTGTTAAGCCCATCTAGGAAAAAAGCACGTATCTCTATCAGATGCCTCAATTTTTCTTAGCAAGCCAACAACCAAGGCCTTGTATGTGTAAGCTGCTATCTGGTTTACATCGAGCAACAACGTACCTTAAGATCAAAGTGGGCAATCTGAAGGGAGTGCAGGTAGTAAACACCATTGAGGATTTGTTTGAGAAATTCAGTTGCTTCCTCTTCAGTCAAAGATTCCTTTTCAGCTAAGAAGTCAAACAGCTCGCCACCTGCAACGCTGAAAACCGGGAAGCAGAGGTTACTGGTGACAGCCCTGTCCCATATTGATTTGTTCTCTCGTAAGACGATTCGCTGGCTCAAATTTCTGGCAAGAAAACAGCCTGAGGACATGTTAAAACTGCTAAGCGAGCAATCAGAACTCTCTATGCTTCTCACCATTGGGTGAGAATTCTGCATTCAGGTGCATTTATGCTTGAAAGCACTTAGGTACCACTTTTCTAATGTGCTAGGTTCACAAATAGGGAAGGAAGCAGAAATGCGATGGGGGAAGAAATGCATCTTTCAGACATCTTAATTAAACTTATTTAGAGGAGAAGTCTTTTTTTTTTTTTAAGTAGATTTTTTCTGGGAGATACTCACAGACAGAGTGCAGTCCGTCTCCTCAGAAGGGAGAAGGGCTTAGGAGATACACATTCCATAGGCAGGATGCGGCCATCTCAAACGGCAAGAGGGAGAGAGGCCATGAGGTTAGCTCTTACGAGTCAGGTAATTTCATATGCTAAAGAGTAGGAGGATTATCCCAACTATGTTGGGGAAGAGC